ACACATGTGAACTGTGTTCCGCTGTTTAAACTCGACTCATCAGATGTTTGTTCCTGTTCCGTTTTTTGATCAGACTCGTTTCAGATGTGTTTTTCGTCCAGTCGTTAAATCTGATCCTGATTCTGATGCAGACGTCTTGGAAATGCAGAAAAACAAATCAACCACAGGAGCTCAGGTGTCTGTGACCGGTCGGACCCAGAAAACCATCCTGCCTCAGGTCAGGTACCATCCGTCTATCCACACTCCTGGAGATGGAGCCCGACCCAAAACCACTACAACAACTGAAACCAGAAGCAGTCGGACACAAAGGACCAGACCTGGAGCTGAGCGCCCCACTCAGACTGGGTGCCAACATGTGGACAACACCACCCAGGCTGATCTGATTCCTATAGTGAGACCACGTCCTGATGATGGACGAAATCCTTGTTCTCAGACCCCCGATCAGAAACCCAATAAAAAACTAGTTCCGATGACTGCCACAGATCCAGGTCCTTCCCAGAAACCAGATCAGGTCTCCAACAGAGCCTGTCCCAGACTGGAGCAGGTTCCTCTGTGTCTGGGGGTCCAGATGGACAGGGCTGTGGTGAAGGACGTGGAGGTTCTGACCCGCGGACAGAGGACCAACCAGGACTGGTTCTGTTGGAGGAGAAACCGGATCACAGCCTCTGTGGCTCATAGAGTCGCTCACTGCCGCTTCGTTCATGGCAAGAGTAAAACCCCACCCACCTCCTACCTGACTGCTATCACAGGTAAACCACACCCTCCTACACCAGATCACTGACCCAAACAAAAGTTTAGTTATTTCTGTCAGAGTTAAAAACTGGTTTCAGGACGAGTGACTGGTTCTTCATCAACGACTCTGATTGGACAGGTGAGGGCCGCAGAGTCCAGACCAGAGCAATGAGCTGGGGGGTCAACATGGAGGCTGAGGCCGTCAGCAGTTACCAGGTACAGTTCCACACAGTGAGCCGAGACCAAAAGACCACAACACGTTAAACACGCAAAGATGGTTTACTGTGATGATGTCATTCTGCAGAGACTCAAGTCTTCGGCGTTAGGTCGGCCGGTCGCGGTTCAGGACTGCGGTCTGTTCATCGACGCCCAGCGGCCGTGGTTGGCTGCAAGTCCGGATGGAATTGTAACAGACAGCCGGACTGGCCAATGGCTGCTGTGCCTGGAGGTCAAGTGTCCCTACAAACACAGACAGAGACGAGTGGAGGACGCCTGCAGGGACGACCCTGGCTTCTGTCTGGAAATACAGGACAATGCTGGACATGAGGCCGGAGGGGTACGACATTTTTTAATGTGTTTTGTCTCCTTCCTGTTGTTGAACTGATTTAGTCCACTGCCTTTCTTGTCCTTGTTTCATGTCCTTTATCTGTCCTCAACGTCCAGCCTAATTTGCACCCTCCTCATCTCTAATGTCCTCACCTTGTCTCTAACATCCTGTCTTCTTGTCCTCATATGTAACATCCTCACCTTGTCTCTAACATCGTGTCTGTCTT